GAAGTCATTTCATTAACCTTCAACTGCAGGAACAAAGGTAATTTCTATAGTTGGTCAAAGGAAATATAGGAAACAATATCAAGTTTCTTTCTCATCAAACTATACAAATGTATAGTATGTATAGTATATGTAAAGCAAAATGTTTTTTCTGTGTTGCTGTTAGTCTTAATAAATTCCTGCTTGTTTTCTTCAACCCCTGTGTGGATCCCTTCCTTGTCACATTCTCTCAGCCAGGTTGTTACAATCACTTTTCTGTATGAAGTGTAAACTGTTAGCTGGATCACACGTGCATTGCTTTCAGGCATTTGATCTTGTATCACCAACCAGATTAGTACAATTTTAAACCACAATGGATCCTAACCCAGCTGATATTGTTTGAGAGGCGGGGTCCACCCTGGACAGGTCGCCAGTCTATCATTGTCACGTCTGCAGCTGTCACCTCCGCCCCGTCACGTGCCAGCAGCAAGTCTAGGCGATGAGGCTTACCTAGCACAGCTGTGGACAATTAACCTGCTTCTTCTTAAGCTGCTTGCTAGCATGTCCTCGTCACCAGATTGTTGTGTCTTCCCGAAGATTTCTGATTGTGGCTCTCATCCTGGCTTATGTTTCCCCATCTTCGGTCTTTCCTCCTAGCAATCATAGGGCTGACACTTAGAGACAGACAACTACACACATCCACACTCACTCCTACAGGCAATTTAGTGTCACCACTCAACCTAAGCTGAGTCTTGGACTGTGGGACGAATCCAAAGTATCTGGAGAAAACTCATGCAGGCACAGGGAGAACATGCAAACTCCACACAGAAAGGTACTGGGTCAGTCGGGGATTGACTGTGAGGCAACAGAGCTAACCACTGTGTTACCATGCCACCCCAAGAAGAAAGCATGCACTTCTTAATTGTATCAAGGGATCCTTGAACTGTAACACAGTAGTATCCAGAATTTTCAGGGGTTTTCTAATGAAAAGCCTATAATGCCAAAGCAGCTTCTGATGCTCATCCAAATTAGTAAATTCAGGGGTACATTGGATCTTTATGTTCCTTACATTTCTATGGGATGAATATAAGAAGTGTATTTTGTTGTACCATATGCTGCAGAAACTGAGGTTTGTGGATACATTTACCTTATTTTTTCACACTGTTACGGTTTGTGTCCACCTGAGGGCGGCAAATAGAGCAAGTCAGTATAATGCACATCTCTTCTCTCTGGTGTCTGTAATTACATTGACAGACAGAAAACCAACAGGCTGTACAGTATTTAATGTTTTATCCATGGACAGATTTTAAGACAGTGGGGACGACAATGGTGCAGCAGCAAATGGAAAGAGACTCAAAATGACTGAAAACATTGAGGATGCTGTTTTTTTATTTTTTGCAGAAATTCTATGACTTGTTGTGGTTGTTTTGCATCTATTTGCAGCTTATTTGAGTCTTTGAGGTCATTTTGCATCTCCTTTTGGTCGTTCTGGACTGTTTGCAGTCATTCTGTGTCCTTGCAGTATTTTTGTGACTTTTTGTGGTTGTTTGCTTGTCTTTGTGGTCATTCTGCATTTATTTCTAATCATTTTTCAGGATCTTTGTAATGTTTTATGTCTCTTTGTCTTGTGCTCAGTTTTCATCTCTTTGCAGTCACTCAGCATCTATTTGAAGTGACTTTCACTTATCCTTATCAGTTTGTGCATCTGCCATAGTCAGTCTCCCTTTAGCAAAACTGCATAAATATTATCAGCAACACAGTATAAATAAAAGTAGTCATTATGCAGGAGCTCTATAAGTGATTCATTTATTATATTTATATTATTTAATACTAATTAATTATCGCCGCTGATGCATATTGCATAAGCCGCGCTTTAATGTTGTAGGTCACTATGGGCTCTGAGATATTGTGCTTAGCATAATCTCTAATTGCATTCCTATGGACTCATTAATAACAGTAGACCGACAATAAACTGATATGTAAAATATGAAAGGCTAACTAAACTGTAGTGAATGTAGCAGGTGAAAAGTATAATATTTATACACTTCCCACTTTTTAAACACATTTTTAGTCTGTACTGATAGACTAGATACTGTATTTCCGACAGAATGAGCTCCCACATTTATAGGGGTTGTGTCTGCTTCTCCCAGATATCTGACCTGAATAACTACCAAATGTTTATAGAACAGGTCATTACCATTGAGAGGCTTACGTCATTAGAGTACTCTGACAGGAGCTACCTAAGACATCCCAGCCCTTGACATGCGTCATTGGTCCAGGATAATCAATGCCAGTGGTTTTAGTGTTGTGGCTGATCAGGGGGACATCCATGTATAGCAGGGGCAGGACGTCGTCTGGGTTTACCACGCCTATTTGCCGTTTTCGCGGGAAAGGATAGACTGTACCATTATCAGTGCGGGTGGGGGACTCGGAAGTGATTCCTTCAAGACACAATGAAAACGCCCTTTTTTTCCAAAATATGCAGGGGAAAGCAGGCTTTGTAATCATTAAGGCCGTTTGTAAACTCTCAAAATTGCAATTACTGAACTCAGCTATAAATTTAGAAACAAGCCCACCAGCGACAAAACCCCTACTTTTGCAATCAGCCGACTTCTCTAGCGGTTAATTTTTAAACCCACCTCCACTCAGCTCTTCATACAGTGTATGTTAAATACGAGGCGGAACTTTATGTCGTTGAACAGAAATTTGCCCCCAAAGCCGAGGAAAAAGAAATGTCAAAGGTAAGGGGCAGAGCAGTCCATGTAAATGTGATTTTATTTTCCCTGTCGGTCCGATTTTGTGTTGAATAGAAAAACACGATTATTGTTGGCGAGTAACTAAAGTTATTGGCCACCTGCCTCATTGTAAATGTACTTTGTTTCTCCTCTGCCGAGTTCTGGCAGTAAACTATTGTTTCTAGCATTAGTAGAACGTGGTAACCAAAACATAATGACATTATTAACCCAGACAACGTTATGTGGTCTGAACACTGTTTTCCTATTTGACCTCTTTTGCATGTTTGTTTTGATCTGGTTAACCTGTCGGTTTAGCTAACGTTACACGTGATCTGCTTCACATCTGTGTTTATGTAATTGTTTACATATTATTATCTGAACAGTATTCTTATGCTCGAAGTAAAGGACTTCAGGTTCAGTGTGTAATCGAAAAGCTAGGTAAAATTATGTGAGTCCCATCTGTCACTCCTTGGTCAAAGTCCCGGTGGCTGGAAGGGGCGGTT